GATGGTAGAAGTGCAAAGAGACACTGACCAGGGTGTGAATCATCTCTGAGTATCTTTCTTACTCTGCTAAAGCAGCGAGACTTGGTAATGTCATCCAGTAGTGTTAGAGGGCAACCAATGGTTTCTTGTGCTGAAATGATCACTCTCTGTAGTGCCTTCCTGTCTGCAGCAGTTAAACCAGCGTAACATACTGTAATGCAGTATGTGAGGACACTTTCTATCATGGACCTAAGGAAATGAAGTCTCTGTTGGGCCTTGCCAATCACCAGGTGATTGAGGTGAGATCTTAACTAACAAACACTCCCAAGAATTTAAAAGAGGAAACCCTCTCCACATAGCCCGCCTCGATATACAGTGGGGCAGGTTCCTCTCTGTAATTCCGGAAATCTAGCACTGTGTAAATTGTATGTGTGTATAAAAGGATGTGCTTTTCTGTAATTGTTTATAACATTTCAGTTTTACTGGAGAATTGTAAACACTGATTAAGAGCAATCTCCATTGAATTCTGAAACACACTTCTATTAAGATCAATTTGATTCATTTAAGACCCATTGCTTTTAGTGTTCATTTGATTAGGTTGATTGAGGCCAGTGTGCTTATTGTAAGCCAGTCAAACTTACAAAGGCATAGCCAATTAAAACTAAGCTTTATTTAATTCTACACATCACAGAAAGCTGTCTTTTGCTAAAATAGATGATTGGTCCATTTAAATCATTACCACTGATGCAAATTGATAATGGTTCGTCAGCATTTCGGGCAGGAGGTTTTTTCCTAGTCCAATATAGACATGTTAAAAATTGATTTTGAGATTATCTTTATCCAAAATTTGTGCTCTAACCCTAAGATCTTAATGGAATCTAATTTCAGGTAAAATATGTGTAAGATTTCAAGTAAAAATTTCGTATCTTTTTGTGTAATGGCCAGAAGAAATGACTTTGAGGGACAGGAGGAAGAGCCTCTAACAAAACAGTTATCAGATAAAAGAAACTTGAGTCTGAAGCAGAACTGTAATCTCAGAAAGGATTTCAGAGAAAAGCCTTCTAATGCAGATTCTGTTGCTATAACCTTACAATAAAAATATTATTGGCTTGCATAGCTTTGGTGTTCTAGTCTGGTCTGCCTTGAAGAGCTGACAATTTGATCCCAAATATGGGTTATATATTGAAGTTATGTGAGTAAGATAATAACTTAGGCAGGAAGGCTGTAATTAAAAATATTTACAATTTAAGTCTAAATAGGTTATACCACCAGGATGCAGATGAGTCATTCTAGAGATCTTTATTGTCCAGCATTTGTTTTCATTTATGATTAACTACAGTAAATAGAACTGTTACCAAGAAATATAGTAACAAGCAAACTGGCAATGAAGTCAATGGCTTATTCCTGTAGTCTAATTCCTGCATTTTTTTTCTTGATACCATTGTTGTTGTTACTCGTGAAATCATATCTGACCCATTGTGACCCCATGTATAACGTTCCTTCAGGCCTTCCTGTCCTCTACCATCCCTAGAGTCCATTTAAGATCACACCAACTTCTTCACTGACTCCATCCAGCCACCTCGTTCTCTATTGTCCTCTTCTTCTTGGAAATAGTGTACAACCTGTGTACTGTTCTTAAATGGCTAGTTGATGAAATATAGTTTACCAAAGTGCCTTTTGAACAATAGAAAATTAAAATTCAACAACACAGAGAAAGTT